TTGAGGATTCTGTTGTGGAGCTGGGGGTTGTTGAGCAGGGTTCAGTAAATTAATGAGGGGGTCACCAGGATTGTTTCTAGCTAAAAGCTGAGCCAGTACCAACTGAAAAACACCGAACTGCTGTTGCATGGCAACAAGCTGAGTTGCCACTACGTCTTGGTTGGCAGTGGAAGTTGAATTGTGAGCTGAGGTATGAGGTTGGTTTTCATCTCCTCCTTCTGCATGGTCAACAGGAGGGAACATAGTTGGGACCTGTGGTGGAAGCTAAGGTGTAAGTTGAGGTGGGATCAGAGGTGGAAGGTTGTTGGGGGGTTGACCTTGCCCATGCGGCAGAGATGAATTACCAGCTCAAACTGATCGAGTGTGAACCATGATGAAAGAGCAACTAGAAAGCTTTCAGTTCGTTTCCCACAGACTGCGACAATGTAATTGCACCAAACCAGAAGTCCTTCTTCAGTCCGCGTCTGCACTCCAGAACGACCTGCAAAGCCTCGAGGTGGAACTCGGGGCAGACACTCCGATGCTTAAGTCAGCAATAATCGAGGCTACCTTTAGGGCGGAGATAAAAAGAGCTTAAGGTTGGTTTCAATTACCTTTTGACGTGGCCCGAGGGGATATTTATAGGATCCAATAAGGAACCCACGTGGCATGCCAAGCAAGATATTCGGGATCTGATGTGTATCTCCAGACGGTTATTTCAGGACCGAGAATTTGAGAGGTATTCAGGTGCAAGGATGTCCACCTTAACTGCTGTGTAGCTCATCATAAGGGATCAGGTGCAGGCATGCTCATTGTCACTGTCATGCAGCTATTTGAGTGTGAGGCTTTGGGTTTGTCCTTCACTTCGGTCATGAGGGAATCACTGTATCAGTCCGAAACTTGGCACCTCGGACCTGTCCTTACAATAGCTATCTCATTTTGATTTTAGGTCGCATTCTCAATTTGTTTTGGATTTTAGAGCTTGGCTCCCTAATTCTATTTTGACTTTGGTTTTTAGAATTGAATATATATATATATATTTATTAGTCTACTTTTGCTGCAATTTTAACATATAACACTTTAAAGTTTAAACATAGATGGCTCTTACGCCACAATTCGAGAGAAACAAGGGCAGCTGGTTATGGTAAAAATTCTAAAACTGCTAAAAAGATCTTTGTAATTGTGATATCATGACAAACTAACAATTTGACGTGCTATTGAAGATGGGGTAAAATACCAAATCATGCCAGGAAATGGACCTAACTAATTGTGATGTTTATTAAACAGGGAGACTATATCAAACTAAATTCTCCAATTCTGAGATTTTTTTTTGAGAGCAGAACTAAGTTCATACCATTGTAAATATGTACTAAATAAATGGAAATCATCCATGCTAAGAGAATTATCTCTCCTAGTATTAATATAATGTACTTTGATTATAGATGTGAAATAACCCCGGCAAGGTATTTTATTGGTTTTTACATCATATGTTGATTTATTAAAGAAATTAATAAAGAATAATTTCTTGTAAGTCTTTATTTACAATGCCAATGACTTTATGCAATCTTTGCTATATAATAATAAAAAATACTTTTTTAATATATTTCATAATGAATTATATAAAAAAATAATCATTTTCATTTGATTCAAAACTTGAATATAAAACCTTTAAATTAGAGACTTAAGTTTAAACAAATTAAGTTAAGGCAATAATGTGAAATACATTTTGTGGTTGTCTTCTCTTTTCTTATTCTATATTTAATTCCAATAAACACGAACCAAAGGGAATAGAGAAGACAACAAAAGATTAATCCAAGAATAATAATCTCTATATCCAAAGCCTAATTTCGATACTACAGAGTGGATGTAAAATACTGGGAATGTATGTAGCAGCCACTACTAGGAAAATGACTAATTCAAACCGACTATATACGGACCGAATAAGGTCGGTCCGTATAAATATATATTCAGACCTATTGAGGCAGTACAAAATTTATTAATCAATATATTCGGACCGATTTCAATCCCTATATTGTTGGTGCCAATTCAAAGTGCAATCGCATCATTAATATACAAACCCAATACGGTCTGAATATGTTTTGTGTAAAAAATAAATATTAAATAACAAAAATTAGAAATAAAATATTATTTAAATAAATATATTCAGACCAAAATTGGTCCGTATATATTACTTGACAAAACATCGTGATTCATTTAATATTTGGATCAGTTTCAGTCTGAATATTGTTAAATATACAAACCAAAATCGGTCTGAAAATTCATGCCATAGATTCTCTGAACCGATGTGTAATATCCCAAAATTTCGGGAATTTTAACATTAAATTAAGGACTTTTATGAGAAGAAATATTATGTTGGGGCTTAATAGAAAAAATTTGCTACGTTGAGGGATTTAAAAGAGAAAATAATATAAGGATCAGCTTCTTTTCTTTTTCTCTTTTTTTCTTTCTTTCTTTTCTTCCTCCTCAGACCCGCGCGCCCCTACTCTTCTTCTTCTCTCCTGCACCGAGCAACAAGAGCCCCAAGCCCGACACACCTCCCCTTGAGAAACCGGTAGGAAAAGCTTGGTTTTTGCCTTCCTTTCTTGTTCAAGAACAAGATTTGAAATTAGAAACCTTCCCCCCTTGCAGGAAATTTCGGATCTGCCTTGCTCTGCTCCTCACCACCGGCTGCTCTTGCTTTGTGGGGGCGAATTGCTTTGATTTTCTGGTAAGAAACAGCCATGAATCTCCCTTCTCCAGCTTTAATTGCCTTGGGTTTACCTTAATTGCTCTTGGTTACTTCAATTTTTGGTAGCCGTGAGTTTCCCCTACAGATTGCCGCCGGCCTTCCCCCAAACTGCAGTTCCGGTTCTTGCTGGAAAAATTCTGGTATGTTGACAGCCCTCCAAGCCCCGAATTTGTCCATTTATTTTCTGCCTTGTGTGTCCGAATTTTGCTAGAAAAATGGAGGAATTCCGGTAGCTTTAGGACAAATTTAAGCATTAATTCAAGTGGGATTTATATGATTGAGTGTTAATTGACTGCTGTGTGATTTTTGGAGAAAGTCCCGTGAATTAGTTAGTGTTTTGGCCAATTTTTGGAAGTTGCAGTACTGTTCACGGCATGAGCACTGTTCACGGGTACTGTTCACACACTAATGGCCAACAATTAATGGAGATTTAAATGTTTAGTTTGTGATATAAGAATAAATTTGGAGATATCTGATCATGGAGATTGATAGAAATAGCATCATGAGTAGGGTGTAGTCATGGTGATTTTACTTTTGAATCCATGGTACGATAATTAATTCTTAGGTATTTTGATTAGGTTCCTGATTGTTCTGTCAGTTTAGCACTGGGATTAAGTTCTCGGTTTATGCGAGTAAGGTAAGTAAATTTATGGTAATGCCCGTATAGTTTTTAAAAGTATATTTTGATTTGTTTTTGAAATGGTGGCGGGACTAAATCGTTTTACACGAGCATGAATGATTTGAAGTGAAAGTTTTATGCTTTTCATTAAGTTGAGCATGCCCACTTGAAATTTAATTGATTGTCATGATGATCTGAAAGTGATTGATGAATTATGATTTTTCTGTTAACCTTTGCCTGTTTTGTATCTGATATGGTCATGTTTTACTGTGCTCGCTAGTGGGAGGTTTATAAACACTAGCATATGTCGACATGTTTACTGATAGAACCGGTTCATTCTGTAATCCTGCCAATGGGATAAAACATTGGTTACTACTGTGCCCGCCAGTGGGAGGTTTATAACACTGGCCATGACCTATAGAGGAGACGTCTATTTCATTCCCGTACTATATTCGTTTTTCGTGATTATACTCGTTAGCATGCTATAAGTTTAATTAAGGGCACTCTATATTTACTTACTAAGTTTATCTCATAGTTTTTCCTTGTCCACCATTTCAGGAAGCGAAACCGAGGACGGGGAAACCACGGGAAGTGACGAGTTAGAAGGCTAGCCATTTCGAGATTGATATGGATTTTAGATATAGATCATGATCTTGTAAACTGGATTTTAATTGGAAATTTTATAAATTCATTGAATGGATTGTTAGTTACAAGAGATTTGACCTTGAGATTTTGGTGGTATCCGATTGTGATATGATAAGTTCCGAGCCTTGTGCATTTGTGGGACCCTCTCACTAGTGCACAGCGTCTGCCACGTCCTCGGATTCGGGTTCTGGGGTGTGACAGATTAAGTGGTATCAGAGCTTAGGTTGAAATTAAGAGCTTAGGATTAAATTAAGCACCTCCAGATTGAGTGGTATTAGAGTTTAGATTTAATTAAATACCTAGGTTTAATTGAATACCTAAGATTTGTTTTGGACTTGGCTAGCCAGTGGATTTTAGAACCGTGGTGAAATGAGTGATGGGGTTATATAAGGGACGATTCTGATTCATGTTGCCTGAATTTTCTAATCCATTTTGATGAGATGGTGATCGGATTGTTCTTGTTTCTTGCCTTCATACCTTGTGTAGATTCAGGAAATTAATCTTGTCTGCCATGTTTTTAAGACCTTGTTTTGAAACTTGGTCATTTTCTAATAGTCTGCACTTGTTTAGACTTGTTACTTGGCTAGAATTTTTGTATGCTCTTTTGCCACAATTGTGAAATCTGGGGAGTTGCGAAGATCTTTTGTTATTGATCCTGTTGGTCTCTACAGCATAGCTAGTTCAGAAATTTGTTCTGTTTGTCACATGACCAGTGGAAGATGGGCAAACCCTCTACTTTGTAAGAGATTCAAGGCTATTTTAGCAAATGTTGTGTGTTTTCTAGTTGCATTTTAGGAGCTGGATAACTGGGTAATTTCGCTACTCATCATCTTTTTGAAAGTCTTATAGTGAAGCTTCACTTTTTCCATTTGGAGCTTCGTGGTCTTTTCATATGGCTCATTTTTTTTTCTATATTGGTTACTCAAAAAAAGTGATCATTCAATTGAAATTGTCATGTTTTTGTGAAGATTGGCAAGCTGTCATAAAGTTAAACTCTCTATTGTTGCTAATCTCTACATTCTTGATACCTGGAAACTGCTTAAAACTCTTGAAATCCATCCTGAATCTTTCTTGAGATTGCTTTGTACTTGTTCTTGAAATTGAAATCCTCATTATCTTGATACTTGTCTGAAACTATTTCTTGAAACTGTTTCTGGCATTGTGCTTGGAATCGGTTCGTAAACCTTGCTTGAAATTAATTCTTGTTGGAATTCTACTCTTGAAAATCGACTGATATTGTTCTTGGAATCTATTCTTGAAATCAATTGATATTTGGTTTTTGGAATCTAGTTTGAGTTATCCTTGAAAACCATTCTTGTCTTGACCCTTGCTCTTGCTCAAATTCTGTATACTGCTCTTGCTCAAATCTTGCATATTCTGTTGGTTCTTGTTTCAGTATACCTGTTAATATTTTGGATTTTTTTTTTTTTGTTCATATGGACACCTCTTAGGAGGGGTGACAAAATACCTATATGAGGCATCCTCATTCTTGTCTCATGCAAGTGTTAATCTCTGTATCCTTGATGTCTTAGGTTTGACTTGACTCTAGGATGTTTAGGATGACTTGATTGTAAATCTGCTTAGCCTCCATGGGCTACGAGGTGAAGGGGTAGTTTTTGCAGTACCTGATGTCCTAGAGTTTTGTTTCAACTGAAATTGTTCTTTTATTTAACTGCTTAGATTCTTGTTTGGCCTTTAACTAGAAGA